GTAAGCGGGAGACGGTACATGCAGCAAATCCCTGGGGTGTGGGAGCGCTGTGGGGAGGGCTTTCCTACCCCCCCGTGCGGTGGCACAGGCACGCCCTGCGTGAGCAGAGCTGGGGTTGCACAGCCCTGCTGTCCTGCTCCGACGGGAGCTGTGCTTCAGTTTTCCTGGGAAGTACTCAGGATTCACAGACTGCAGCTTAGATACAGCTTCAATCACTGTCAAAGCGCCTGTGGCCTGTTCCATAGCGTTTAAAAAAAAAAAGGTGATTTGTGATTTTTTTTCTCCTTTTTTAGAGAAATTTATTTTTGTAGCAGCTTTTGCATGATACTGTGATACTGAGTAAATTGTACCTTGTTAGAATGGATCACGCCACACCAACTACTACTGTTGAAATGCATTACTAGATTTTAGTATGTCCAGCAAGTACAACCTGAAAGTAGGATAGATACCTAACACATACATGCACACAAAGCCCCTCCTTGCCAAGTACAATTTTAATCACTTTCATACTTGCTAAATGCACAGATATCCGCAATACCTGCTGCATTGTCATGTTTCAGTCTGCCCATACAATTCTGTTACAATGAGATCATAGGATCATAGAATGGTTTGGATTGGAAGGAACCATCAAAGGTCATCTAGTCCAACCCCTCTGCCATGGGCAGGGACATCTTTCACTAGATCAGGTTGCTCAAAGCTCCATCCAACCTGACCTTGAATGTTTCGAGGGATGGGGCATCCACAACTTCTCTGGGCAACCTGTCCCAGTGTGTCACCACCCTCATCATAAAGAATTTTTCTTTATGTCCAATTTAAATCTACCCTCTTTCAGTTTAAAACCATTGTCCCTTGTCCTGTCACTACAGGCCCTGGTAAAAAGTCTTGCTCCATCTTTCTTATAAGCCCCCTTTAAGTATTGAAAGGCTGCAACAAGGTCTTCCTGGAGCCTTCTCTTCCCCAGGCTGAACAACCCCAACTCTCTCAGCCTTTCTGCATAGGAGAGGTGTTCCAGTTCTCTGACCATTTTTATGGCCCTCCTCCGGACCTGCTCTAACAGGTCCATGTCTTTCTTGTACTGGGGATCCCAGAGCTGGACGCAGTGCTCCAGGTAGGGTCTCACCAGAGCAGAGTAGAGGGGCAGAATCACCTCCCTCGACCTGCTGGCCACCCTGCTTTTGATGCAGCCCAGGATACAGTTGGTCTTCTGGGCTGCGAGCGCACATTGCTGGCTCATGTCCACCTTTTCATCCACCAGTACCCACAGGTCCTTCTCGGCAGGGCTGCTCTCAATCTCTTAATCCCACAGTCTATTGATACTGGGGATTGCCCTGAGTTAGGTGCAGGACCCTGCATTTGGCCTTGTTGAACATCATGAGGTTCACGTGGGCCCACTCCTCAAGCCTGTCCAGGTCCCTCTGGATGGCATCACTTCCCTCCAGCATATCACTCCAATCCAGATTTGAAAACCTTGAGCGAATTTACAAAAAGACAAAACTGCAGATGCATTATTACAATACTCTTTGATAGTGAAGAACCTCCTTAGGTTAGAGCCTTGAGGGACACCACTTTTTACTGATCTCCATTTGGACGTTGAGCTGTTGACTGCAACTTTTTGGATGCAGCCATCCAGCCAATTCCATATCCAACACCCATCCATATCTCCCCGTGTGGGACTGTGTCAGAGGCCTTACAGAAGTCCAGGTAGATGACATCAGTTGCTCAGCCCTCATCCACCAATGCAGTCACACCATCGCAGATTAGTCAGGCTGACTTGTCGGTAGTTTCGATGTCCTCCTTTTTACCCTTTTTAAAAATGGGTGAGATGATACAACCAGAGTTGTTACCATGATGCTAAACACACTGGAGCATATTATTGGCCTGGGACAGGCTGGCTGAGCCTGTCATTTTTTAATTTATTCATTCTTTCCCTCTATTTCTGGTGCTTTCCTTATCACTTTGTTGGTTTAAATTCATATGCAAGAGATGCTTCCAGCAGTGAATTGGGAGTGGGGCTTTTACGGTGGGAAAACTGGGACCGATCCCAGCTCCACCATCATTTGGTATCATTGCCAAGCCCTTTCCCATCTAATTTTTGCCTCCCAATCCTGCCTCTCACTGGATTCTTCCTTGGCAGGGCCTCTGGGGCCTGCCCGATCGCTAGCAAAGCTGCAGGAAGTTTTGCCTGACCAGAAGGGACCCAACAACCCATTCCTGCAGGGGTGTGAAGGGTGGTTCCTTCTGGTGCAAGCCCAGAAACACAGACATTTTTTCCCCAAAAAAGGTCATTCCTTTTTCCTGCTCTTCCTCTGTCCTGTCCCTCCTTGCCTCTGCGTGCTGGAGGAGGTGTGAGGGGGGATGGAGACCCCCGAGCACGTGGCCAAGCCGGTGACCCCTGCTCTCGCCAGGGAGCTGTGACCGTGCAAGGTTGAGCTTGGCATTCCCAGGGGTGTGGGGGCCACATCTCTAGTCCTTACTCCCTGGCCATCCCTGCTCGAAGACAAGCAAGGGGAAGCTTTTGCTTTTGGGGGGCTAGAGACTTCCCAAAGGCCATGGCCACCGCGGGGGCTTTCCTGTTTTGCAGGGTAGGGTGGCCTTTGGCAGGAGAGGGAACGCAGCTAGCGCTGAGCTGGGTTTTATTGCCCTTATATCTTTAAAAAGGAGATGTTTGATTTCGTTAATCTTTATTCAACGCAGAAGGCTGCAGAGGCAATAAAACCAGCCTACAGTTGCTCTGAAGGGTCTCCAGAGCCCGGCACCGGGAGCGGGTAACAGCCGTGGGACGGCAGGAGAGCTGGCAGCGAGCCGGGGGCACGGAGAGCTGGGAAAGCTGCAGGGAAGCTCTGGTTTTCTGCAGGGAAGCACCATTAGGCCCCATTGGGACGGCACCTCCCGCGGCTGCCAGCACAGAGGGGTTCTCTCGGCAGATGCACAGTGGCAAAGACTTGCGGTGGTGGCAGGCGGGGGGGAGGAAAGGAAAAACTATCAAGTGCAAAATCAGGTATTTTACGTTTCTGCACTGATGGTGGTTGTGTCCCATGGACACGCTGAGGAGCCTCTGTAGTTTCCCACGCAGCAGGAGTTCTGTGGTAGCGTTTATTATGTGGCTAATGATTACAGGAAGAGTTTGTATTATTTCAGTTATGATGTACAGATAAGTGTAATATATTCCTGATAATAAATACATGCGCCAGCACAGACGTGGGCTGACACGTACGAACCAGCGTGTTCTGCAGTGTTTTCTGTATGCCTGTGCACACAGAAGCTGGAATAAATGGAAAACAAAGCAAAATGCCATTAAAGGGTTACCCCACTACGGTAAAGATCGAAGCTAGGCAGCCAGGTAGCCTCCTGGCAGCGGGGCTGCTCGGTTGGGTTACCTGACTATGGTTCACATGCTATAAATTAGATGAAAAATCCCACAGATTCATTTTCTGAGGGTGCTTCCCATAGGGCTGGGCCTCCCGGGAGACCAGGGATCGTGGTCTGCAATGTTTTTATTAAAGGTGTCATGCTT